TTTTTGCTTTCACTTAAGCGGTTTGGTCTGCACTTAGTATTCATGTTATTGATGGGAATCTAAGTATTGTTTATGATCAATTTCGAAATTAGCTTGTGTGTTTTGCTTTTTTGTTGTTTTGTTTTAAAGCATTGTGTGTGTTTGGCGTGTGTATGGAAAGGGTTCAAATCACCAGAGTAAATCATCCAATATGAACAACACCAGAATCTGCCAAAACCTACAGCCTATCGATCAAAGTTTTATGGTGGATGGTGCTGAGATCAAGTCGTCCCTTCATCAGCAGCCTTTGACAGACCATTATGCAGATTCAATGTGTGTCAGAGTGACCTCTAAGTTGGGTTTCCACAACTTTCTAAAATAATTTAGCAACAAGAAGGAGCTTTACAATGGAACAAACATTACAAACAGAGCTGGCATCAAGATTAGAATTGTTGAGCCTTTCTTAAATTAAGATGGAACATAACCTTGCTTCAGGGAGTTGTTGATTATAAACAATATGGATGGACCAGAGCAGGTTACAGACTCAACTAATAAAGACTGAAGTAGAAGAATTAATGAATAAGTTGATGATTTTGCCGTTACAATTAAAGAAGTCATGTCATTTAATGTAACTGGAACAAAAGGAGCAAATGTTTCAGAACCCTGGGCCTAACTCTCAAAGGTACGGCAGCTTGGGGAAATATTAGATCTCAGATCCATTTGAAAAAACCCAAACCAAAACAAACTGGAAAGGCAAGGTACACACAATAATTGAATAAGTAATGTAACAGCAACAGAAATAACATTCCTCCAGAATTGATAATAACACAAAACAAGAAGTGATGAGGGAAAGTGCCAACAAGCTGAACGCAACATTACAGCAATTTCCAACAAGTACTGACTGCATTCTCTGTATTTCTTGAATAAAGAGTTAAAATCTACAAAAATCTTTCATTACAACATATCAGCTCAAAGTCAACCTTTTCAGTCACAATTTCAAAAGGTCAGTTTAGCACAAAGTACACCCTGAATATCACATATGCAAATATATTAGTGTTGGGACTTCGATGCGATGTTTTTGATTACTTAATTACACATATTTTAATGCATTAAAGATGTTAACACAATCATTTTTTTTTCTGTTTTACATACAGAAGTCCCAAAACAGAACCTTTCAAATGACATCCTTAGACGTCAGCGATGAATGACAAAGCTGCTTCCCTTGGAAAACCAATGGGACGCAGCAATAGAATAATGTTGTGTTCAAGTTGGGCTAAATGTAGTTAGCCTATCAGCAAAGCCATTCAAGCCTAAAATAGCATCTCAATGCTAAACATGTAGCAGCAGCACAAAGAAGTTCCATGAATGATCAGGGGCTCCTGAAACACAATCATTTTGCAGCAATATTATGGTTGAATAACCTAAAAAAGGTTAAAAACAATACATGTCTTGTCTATTTATTCAGTAATTTAGTGGCAAAAAGGTTTTCTGAATTGAAAATGTTGTTTATTTTGTTGATGTTAAGTTCTCATTTAAAATGCAATTAATAGTGATTAATCAATTACAGGCCCTGCGATTCACTGAACTAATCGCTGAATTAATTTAATTGAGTATATGTACAGTATTTATGTATCTATGTATGTATGGATGGATGCATGTATGTAGCTGTGCACACGCATGCATGCACGTGTCTACTAGCCTGGATCTCAAGTAGAGGACAGAGAAGGCCTGTCTGTCTATGTCTGTCAATCCACACCAATCTTCAGTTCCACCAGAGCTAATATTACCTGAGAAATCCAGTGATTTGCAGTAATTGCAGAGAACATCTCTATTTCATGATTTTAATTTGCACTCCTAGAGCAAATTACCCGCTGCACACAGCTTACCTGAAAACACTAATCCTACACCGATCGAATTTCTGGCAGTTGCAAGCTGTAATTTGTCTCGCTGTGTTGTTTCTTCTATTGCTTTCACTCTCTAAGATCTTAGAGTTTTGTACATTTCCTCATGAATATATTCAATCAAAATCTTTAGGCAGCATTACAGGTGATGCTAATATGTTTTGCCAGCATAACCATAGTAGATTTTATCCTGCCTTGTCAGCTGTTTTTGATATTTTATATAATGATGAGCAGTCACAATGTGAGTCCCTGTCATACACCTAACAGGATCCTAGACAATAGTTCTATTTCTTTAAATTGCACTCAAATATTTGGTTATCCCAATTATAATTGTTTTCTTCAATAAAAGTAAGCTTGACTCTCACTTTCCTCTTCAAAGGCGCATTTAGAAGCCAAACCGTATCTCAATCCCTTTTTTAAATAAATCAAACTACTAGAAAAACACTATTAGATGCACAATAACAGTTTTGTTCTTATAAGATACATGAGTAAGCAGTAGGAACATTTATGACACAGTGAGACAACACTGAACTGCACGAAAACACTGAGTGGATGACAGACAGTAAAATAAATAGCACCAAGTGCAGAGAGGAAAATTGGACATTAAACAATGAGAAAAGGCAATGTTTTAACAAAGTTTGAGGCACCAAGAGAAAAGAACAAAAGGGAAAAAAAAAAAACAGTAGAAAAATGAGGGAAGACAACCAGGATCAGTTTGAGATGTTTACTTCACTTGGAATCTGTCTGTAGGAATCCACTGAATTTTTTTCAGTGGATAATCATCTAGAACAGTGGTCCCCAAACTACGGCCTGCGGGCTGGATCCGGCCCGCCTCCGCATTTGGTCCAGCTCCCTGAACAATACCAGAGAGCATTTAGATTTTTTTTCATATACCGCATTTTCTGGACTACAAGCCGCTACTTTTTTCCTAAGCTTTGAATCTTGCGGCTCATAGCCCGGTGCAGCTTATATGTGGATTTTTCTTCAACCACCAGGGGGCTCTTTAGCAGGAAGTGAATCATTGGAAGTCAAAATTGGAAATAAAAGAAGAAAGCGCCCATTAAAACGGAATTAGGTTTTAATAGGGAATTGAAATTTGAGAATGTTGTTGATCAGTTAAATAGCATTGAGGGGAAAAAGAAGATTTTTCGTTTTTTAAATAATACTGGGATCATTATGAGAATTTGAGGTATAGATATTAGGATCCAGTAGATGGCAGTAGTGCAACAATAATTGATGCAAGCTGCCGTTGAAATCTGAAGAAGAAGAAGAAGAAAGCGCCCATTTTCATTTAGCACATGCTAGTAGCAGACACGAAGGATCAGCACTTTTACTGTTACAGTTACCGTTTGGAAACTGCCGTAATCAGTTCAGTTAAATCTAAACTTGGCAACTTTTTCTTTTTCAATCGTCATAAATGTGATATTCAATTGACCTGTTATGACTCAAATTTTGGGTGTCCGCCCCCCTTTGCTGCTGCATCGTTGTGGAAAACCTGGAGCGGCAGAGATATCTGAGACTTATAGTCCGGAAAATACGGTATTTATTTCATAAATAGTGTTATTTCAGCCAGCATGAACCCAGAGAAGGTTATTTGATTGTGCTTTCTGGAAAACAAGAAATGTTTACATTTAGGCACTCTTGCAATCGTCACACTTTTTCTGTTACAAACTGACTCCGGCCCCCCAGCAGAGAAGGGAAAAGTTATGTGGCCCTCGCAGGAAAAAGTTTGGGGACCCCTGATCTAAAATATAGCTTAAAAAGAACCTCAGTATCTTCCTCCAACAGATATATTGATTCTTTTAAAAGATGTTTTGTTTGCCAGTCAAAATCAGAGCTGCTGGTTCTTTTTACAGGAAAAGTAAATGATGAGTTAAGGAGATTGTTCCCACATCATCCTGAAGCATCAGAACTGCTTTCCACTGCTCCAGGCTCAGTTCCTCAGCTGCACTTCCATCAAGCTGTCTCTCCCACAGTGATGTTCATAAAAACAAATACAGAACTGTGTGGAGTCTTCCTCCTTCAACATTTCTTAACATTTAGCTGTTTTCCACCGTCTCTTCTCGAAGTTCCTGAGGCCAAAAGCACTAAGAAATTGCTTTACCCTTACTCAAACAGAGGGCTCATAAAGAGTGATATTAAAGTGAAGTGATATTAAACTACCCCATTAAGATGTGGTGACTAGAAAACTGGTGTTTAAAACAGGTAAACTCCAGATCTGTGGTCGATCTTAAGGACCCCAGTAGTGGAGTCTTAATCAAAGAGCTGTAACAATTGATAATCGTTGGAAAGGGACAGGACCAGAAAGAAAGAGGAGAACTAAAAATCAACTAAATGCAAACCTCATATTCTGTTCTTCCTGTCTCTCTCTAGTGTCCTATTAATCCTTAAATTAGCTGGGTGTTTTTTTTTTGTTTGTTTTTTTTTGAAAATTCAAGGATTTTCATCATAATTCTAAGTTTTTACTATATTTTATTTAAGTTGATTAAACTTGGATTTAGTTAATCCAATTATCATTATTGTTGATCATCTGTGCTTTAACTGAGTCTGGTAGGCAAAGAAACGTCCACCCATCCATTTTCTTACACCCTTGTCCCTTAGTGGGGTCAGGAGGGGTGCTGATGTCTATCTCCAGCTAATGTTTTGGGCAAGAGGCGAGGTCACCCTGGACAGGTCACCAGTCTGTCGCAGGGTAACACAGAAACACACAACCATACACACACTTTCACCTAGGGAGAATTTAGAGAGGCCATTTAATCTGACAGTCATGTTTCTGGACTGTGGGATGAAGCCGGAGTACCTGGAAAGAACCCACACATGCACAGGGAGAACATGCAAACTCCATGCTGAAAGCCCCCAGCACGGGAATCGACCCCAGAACCTTTTTGCTGCAAGACAACAGCTCTACCGACTGCACCACTGTGCAGCCTGCTAAGAAACATAATGAAGGTTCTTTTTGGAAATCAGAAGTGCTGACCAAACGTGATATCATTGGAATAAAACTTGAAGCTGAAGCAGAACTGAACCTGCAACATGATAGTGAACCAAAACATACCAGTGAATCTACCTAGCACTATGGAATTAAGAATGGAATATCAACTTCCAGTGTTTATTTGTTGTTGAACTTGAAACTGATTATTCATGTAAAAAAAACACACACACACACACAAAAAAAAAAAAAACATCTCAGCCAAATCCTCAGATTTATGTCAGAGATGAGCATATAGCTACAAAAAGTGCCTCACTGACGTTATCTGTAGCTAAAGGGGCTATGACTGGCTACAAGGACACAATCTGTCCAACATTTTTAGTCAGGTAAAAAACATTTGTTGATCTGTTTTATTTAAGGAAGTGCAGTGAAACAGCTGCAGCTCTGTTGCCTGGCAACAAGAAGTTTTTGGGTTTGAATCTCAGCCTGGGGTCTTTCTGCATGGAGTGTGCATGTTCTCCCTGGTCATGCATGGGGTCTCTGGGTGTTCTGGAATTCTCCCACAGTTCAGAAACATGAGTGGGATGAGCATGTATGTGTGGTTGTTGGTCCTTTGTAAATATTGCAAATATTGATACATTTTATTGAATTTTGATTGATCATCATACTTCTGGTCTTTGGGTGCTTTGGAGTTTTTCCTTTGAATGATTTTATCAATATCTATATCAGAATTTGTACAAAGTTTATAGACAGAGTTCAGAAACTACAATACAAAGATAAAATAAAATTTCAATATGGAATCTGAATCTAAAGTATCATCTAGTATCGATACTGACTTGGTATTGATAATTGGGGCCTGCCATAGCAATGCATAGGGAGAACAGTGATTGACTTGCAAGCAGGCTGCACAGTGGTGCAGTTCGCAAGTTAGTCACTGCTCTCCATCGCCAGATGTTGGCATCAGGGCCACTGCTATAAACTCATTGCATCTCTGAACAGTGCTGTTTATGTTATATCATCCAGTGGTGGAAAAAGCAACAAAAAAACTATTATGCTATGTACTTAAGATGGAATATATGCACATATATTCATGACATGCTTTGATTAAAGTAATTTATCCTCGGTGGAATTCCAGTACCAAAAAATTTACTTTACGCCAGGTGAGTCTCTCTCACCTGAGAATGTGAACCTACTGGACTGATTCTGTGCCTTCAAATAATTGTAATGCTCCTGTAGAAAGAAGATTCATAACTTAAATGTTACAGGAACCTACAAGTTAACTTATAAGGAACAGGTCTGAAAAAACAGTCTGTGTGCTACACTCAAGAGAGAGATTCCTTTGATGCATCAAAGAGTGATGTCATCACTGATGAAGTCATTGTTACCATAGGGACTAAACATTCTAATGGTGCATTCACACCAAACACGTTTTGAGCGTGTTTGGTGTGAATGCACCAAACACGCATTCACACCAAACACGCATTCTATGTGAAGTATAGAATATAAAGTCTATACTTCACATAGACTTTATATTCAAAGTCATCTTTCCTCAGACCTCTCTGGTTGATTCAAGGTCTGTCTTTCTTCAGGCCTCCCTGGTTGATTGGAGGTCCATCTTTCTTCAGACCTCCCTGGTTGATTGGAGGTCCATCTTTCTTTAGACCTCCCTGGTTGATTGGAGGTCTGTCTTTCTTCAGACCTCCCTGGTTGATTCAAGGTCTGTCTATCCTTGGTCTCCTCTGTTTGTAGGGAGCCTTCTCTTTGCAGGGGGACCTCTGGTCAGGTGGAGACTCTAGGATGGTTGTTTTCTAGAGCAAGTTTCAACTCCACCTTCAGGTCCGCAACCTGACCCTGCAGAGCTTTCACCGTTTCCTCCTGAGCCTTAAATTTGGAAGCTTGCTCAGAGTGTATTTTGAGCTGCTCCTCATATTTGAGTCTCACTCGGTATTCTTCAACCATTACTTCAATCAGACCTTTATTGCGGGAGGCGTATTTTGCAGCCTCCCACTTGAAGTACTCCAGCTGTTGAAGAACGTTCTTGTCAGTTGTAACTTTGAAAGAGCAAGAAACCTGTTCACGTTTGACTTGCAGGTGACGTTCTTTTTCCAACATTTTTTGCAGTCTTTGAATCTCCTTCTGCTGGGATTTGACTTCAGCCTGACATGCAATCCTTCGGTCTCTTTCCTCATGGAGCTCAAAATTCTTTCTCTGCTCCCCAATAGCATTTTCCCTAAAAATAGTGTTTATATCTATTTTTTCTTATTTATTAGTCACACTTAGTACACTGAATGGAGGAAGAAAATGTAAAACAACATGCTAGCGACAGAGTTTAGGCTAATGTTAGCAATTTGGCTCATTTTAACTTGTACACTAATTTTAACATACAGAATGGAGTAAGTCCATGTTACTCAACATGTTTGTGACTCTCCACATGCTTTTGAGTACATTGCAGCTTACTTTAGCATTGATGCTAATTTGTAGCATCAGACGGGCACACTTTGGCAGGTCCCATTTAAATTTCTTCAGAAATGTTCTAGTGTTGATATATGATATATGATGTGCCCACGTCTTATAGGTACAGAGAATCAATGGATCTTTTATTCAGTGGGAAAAAAAAGAGTTAATTTCTTTTAAGTAGAATAAATCCCTTTATTTTTCAGAAATAAAGGAAAATTTGTATTAGGTATCAATTTCTGAACATATCTTAAGTATTAAGAGTATTACTTCAAATTGATACATTTGAATTCTGTCTAGGTTGATCGATTTGGGTTCACACAAATGTTTTTTTAATAATTCCTGGGAGATGTGGGAGTCTAGGTTAACCCCTTGTTTGTTTGTGTTTGTTTAACAGCACATATTAATATTTCATCACGGTCAGAACTGCTAACATTTGCCTCTTTCACCCCCTTTTCTTCTCTCTCATCATGTCAGCCTAATCCTCCCTCTCTGTTTCGTATCTCCCTTCTCTCTCTTTTAGCATTTTTGTCTCAGCTCCATCTCTTTCTCATTACAGACCCATTTCTTTCTCTTTATGCCTTCTTTTCCCCCACTCTCTCACTCCCTGCTGTTGCTGTCTGTCCTGATCTCACGTGGCCCCATCCACCCTGCCTCTTGCCGTTTCCTTGCCCACCCTCCCAGCTTCTCTCATCCTCCTCAGTGTAATGCAGGATAAAGACACAGGGATCACATATGGCCGAGTGGTAATGGTGGCGCGCCACTTAAATCCACTCATTTAAGTGCAAATCAGTGTCATTCTGGAGCTGCCGAGCAGATGCTAGTCCATGTCAGCATAACTTGATGTGACCACTGCAGGCTTAAAGTGTGTGCTTATTTGTGTGGGTGTGTAGGTGTGCATTCTCAGTAATCCATATGGATTCTGATAAAAGAACCTGCTCCTTAAATGCACAAAACCTGTGAACCAATAGGCAGTCATACATTTCAATAACTGCAAATGTGAGGGAGGGATTTAAGCACACCACTCTGTTAAATTAGTGTAACATTTTGCGTTTCCTAAGATGTTTTGTGTCTAGAGTCCAATACAATTGTGTGAGTGATTAAAAATCCTTTCAATAAAATAAAACTGATTGAAAAATAATTCAGGGCTCAACATCACCCAAAAGTAGCAACTACATATTAAGTTTGGACCAGTCAACTATGAGTTCTAGGTTCACAATAATCAATAAGCACTTTATGATTTCTGCCATCTACAAATACACTGGAATGGTCCTGTCAGCATAAAATGTATGATGCTTAAAGTCCAAAGATGATGGTGGATTTGTGTGTTTTGTTAACACAGTCAGTCTTTTATGAGGTTTCCTACTATGTGTAAAATTACTATTATTTGATTTCTATGAACACTATAACATAAGTGTACAGACTGCCTCTTTACCATCAAATTGGTGGTAAAACAACATGCTGAGCAGTGTGTTGGTGGAGTGTTTCATCATTTCAGTAATGCTAAAATTGTCACCATGACTAGCTGGCACAAACATCTGTTAAGGTTTGAAATCTTTAAAGAAGTAGTAGTATGTGTTTTCCAGGCACATAGTGCTATTTTATAGTACAATCAGTTGCCTGTGAGTTGAATATGACATAAAAGAAATTTGGCTTCTTAATGTAATGCCTTGAAATTGGGCCTCTGTCTCTTTAAGAAGCTCCAGCACTTTCTGACACTCCGACTTAAGCATTTAATCACAACAACATTTCTCCATTAAACCTTTAACATCATCTTTAGGTCAGTTGGACTGAGAAGTCAGTTGGACTAAGATGAGCTCAGCAGACACACAGTTCTACCAGATCGCCCTTTGTCTCATGTGGGCAGCTCCCCCCACTCAAGGGTTAAATATTACTTAATGTGGCTCTGAACCTTCAGAGCCACATTAAGACAGTCACAAAGTCGACCTTCTATCACCTGAAGAACATCTCCAGGATTAGAGGACTAATGTCTCAGCGCGAAAATGAGAAATGGACAAAATAATGAAAAAGATGCAGTGCTTTCAGACTTCAAATAATGCAGGAAAACATGTTCATATTCATTCAGAAACAACAATACTAATACTTTAACTGAGGAACCAATATTCGTGGAATAACCATGAGATGATAACTTTAAATCCATCTGCAAATTATTCCAGGTGGCACAGGTGTAAAATTTAAAAGCTTTTTACTCAGCTCAGTTCTGACCTTTGGGACCTGCCTCAAAATGATGCTCTGAGAACACAAGCTATAATGGCTGTAAGTTGTTCACAAAAGTGAACATAAACATGTAGGAAGATGCACAAAGACGCATTTACAGATAAAAACCAGCAAGAGAGAAAGTCTGAGGGACATTTTGTCATAGCACACAAAGTGCAATAATGTATTCAATAGCCACAGTTAGTTATGAAACACAGGGCACAATGATGTGCAGCATCCAAGTTTTCCAAATGCTGGGCTAAAGAGTTAATAAATAGCAGATCTCTATAATCTATCAGAAGCAGAATGATTGAATTAATCAGGTTCCTTCTGACTTGATGTGAGAAACCCTTTGTTTTTCTGAAAACAAATCCCATTTTAAGTGTTGGTTAGAAACCAGCTTGTCAGTATGAGATTTAATGGATAGATTCTCATCAATTAGAATACATAAATATACGTAGCAACTGGTAACTTCAGTATCAGCCCCTTGAACAGTTAAGTAGTTGTGGAGGACAGGTGTGAACATATTGTAACATTTGATTTTTCTGCATTGAAAACCAACTTAAGCCCAGGCAGGCGGGTCTGGACGGTAACAAACACACATATTCACGTTTAAAAAAATGTTTAACAAAAATGTTTATGGTCTCAAACCAAACATGTCTGAAGATTCTCAGTTTTCCAGGTTTTTATATTTAGGAGGGTTTAATGGAAGTAATTTTCTAAATTTGTAAATTAACGTTTTTTAAATGTTAATTTAAAAATTTTCCTCTCCATTAATTTTCTATGGAAGTGTTGTGATGAGGCGACAGTCGCTTGTCCTCATGCAGCCGAGCGACTGATGTAATTTATACATGTGAAACTTTGAGCTCACATACGTAGATGAGCAGATGCAGGCTAGCAACGCAACACAAGAAAGGGGAAACATTTTCAAATGTAGTTGTTGTCTGCTGTCACAGAGAACTCCATGTGTGTGGAGTCCATGAGTGTTTTCTGAAGGAGGAAACCCTCAGAGGGAGAGAGGCTTTTAGGTCCAAATAGTTTTTCTGATTAAAATGCAGTATGTAATATTAATGCGTTGAAATTTTGAGATTAATTCCTTTCTGCCACATATCGACATCTCAACATTTATTTCATTTATGTTTCCATAAATATCCTATCATATATCAGACATACATGTGACACTATACCTTTACATATATTACCATTACATTTTCCCATATAAATCACAATACATGATACATTACATGTTTTTGGGATATATAAACACATATTACATATTCATGTTAAATATATACACACTAAAACATGCAAGAGAGGCTTTCTTTGCAGATGTCATAAACAAAAACATTAATGGTCAAGCTTTATTTGCTACTGTTGACAGGCTCACAAACCCTCCTATGATGTTGCCACCTGAACTT